ACCGGTAAATGTTTAATAAACTTGCTTCTATGTTTAAGCTCAAAGAAATGTTCTCCAGCTTGAAAGTGTAATGTATGGTTCCCACATCAATCCAGTCCTCACAGACCTTTCCATGAATTTGATATTTTAGATTTTCCCCCTCAAAAACTACTAGTTCAGTTGTTCCCACACAGAATGTATTAACAAATAACTGAATGTTCTTCGATATTCAAGATTTGTTTTCATGTTGGTTGGTTGTCAAAAACACTTGTATCTGTAGTAATCTAAAATATGTCAGGTGAACTCAATGGATCCTTTATCCTACTTTCCAGTTAAACTTGGTACTCTTTAATGTCTCTCTTTTCTTCATACAAGCCGGCACTTTAGCAATCCGTGGCATGTCTGCAAATATTTGGCTTAGTAGGTGTGTATAATGTGTGTGTGCAATATTATTCAATGGTGCTGGAGAACCGAAGAGACCAATTAACTGAGATAAGACTTTATTTTACTTTTCTTTTTAGGTTTTTAAATGGGTTTGTCTTGAATGGATTTGAAACACTCAATTTTTATCCCCTTCCAGAAACACTTTTTCTGAACTCTTAATTACTGATAGTGGTCCCTTTTTTCTTGTGTATTCTTTTTTCTTCAGAGGATTGTGATTAGTGTACAAAGTGATGGGTGTTGTGTATAGATATACCATGTACTGTTTTGACTCCTGGAAAGGCTGCACATCCGCTTTGCTTTGTGGGAATTCCAGCAAATAAACTTTTTAAACTGACTTTGTTGTCTGGATTGTATTTTATTTTTATTCAACTGTGTAACTATTCATTATTAAACAGCTATTTGTTTAAGTTAAATGTCATTTGGCAATAACCAATGCTGTAAAGTGCTGTGCAAACCTTGTTAAATATTTCTCAAAAGCTATTGCTCAGCAGACCAATAGTTTTTATACTCTTGAATTTAAGCAGAATTTGATTTGGCTCCATCAGCTTTGGGAAATATTTCAGATGGAGTGAGTTTATGGTATTTGGAATTGTGGAAGTTCACATTTCCCATTTACTCACTGTTACGAGTCCACAGAATATTTCTCTGTGTGGTTAATTCATTTTTGTGCATATGCTTTATTTTTTTAAACTTTTGAATGCAAGCTGAGCTCTCTGTTGCTTGAATATCAAAGTGTTTGGTCAGTAAAGACAAAAAAACACATGAGCAGGCCTATATGGAGGCAGAACGAGAGAATAATCGTTTCAGTGGCTTTATGGATTTTGTATCAAACCCATGCAATAAATATTGGCAAATCACGTTGATTTGTTTCTATTTTGAATGAGTCTGAAATCCGCATTTTCTTCAGAAAGTCGACTAAAGTGTTCACCTGTCCACCTGCTTAGGGATGCTGGGATGTAGCAGGGAGGCGGAGGATGATGAGGAGGAGGAGGAGGCGTAGGGACGTAACGCGGCGCACGCTCCGCTCGCGGCCCGTCGTCGCAACGCGGAAGGAGGAAAGAGACTCCACGTCACTGAGGTGTGCTATTGGCGTCACTGCCACACAAGGTGCTACCTCGGTGCGACTTCAGAACCGTCGCGCGACCCCCAGGCATCCTCATGTCGGTCATAATAGGTCCTCCGAGCTCCAGGGGAAGATAAATCCATCCGCTCCTGAGCCGAGCAGCCTCCGCACAGCCTCCGCTGAAGGTAACCTACGCGCTTTTTCTGACGGTTTCTGTTTGCCCGCCGCCTGCTAGCCCGGCTGCCCAGAACCTCTGGCCGTGCCTGGTAGAGAATTTCCGCCGGATACTGTCGACCTTTGCGTTTTCAAGAAACCCCCACCACCACATACAACCTATTATTGGCAGAATGTCGCACGGCCCATTAGCGCCTGGGTGTTAGTGAAGTGAGCCGGCTAGCTAGTGGGGACTGAGGGCTGGTTGTTGACGTTTTTCGGTTTGACAGTTGAGGCCGCCCACCGGGGCTGCTGCTCACGTGCGTTTACGTGTCGGCAGGTGACCCTGCGCACCCCGAATGCGATGCTGAAACCCCCGTGGTTATTTCGTGTGAAAAACGACAGGGAACCGGGGTTGCTGGACGGCTCTATTTGCTGTTGACCGTCCTGTAAGTACACAGTGCCAACACACTAAGGCCCTCTCACTGCTCAGAGGTTTAGGATCAACCCTCAATCACACATGATGAGCCGGTGTGAGAAACCTACACCAACACTTATGGCCACACTTTGAACAGAGACAGAATGTTTATAACAACAGGTTGTGGACATTTCTTGTCATATATCTCCATCTGTAGGGTCAGAGTTACTAAATCTCTGAAACCTGGACATCCCACCATTCGCTTAAGGGGTTTCATCAAAGGTAGAAGCTATATAATAGGGAATCCTGTGACTTAATGAATAAGACAGTAATAACTCTGTTTCCTATTGAAACTTCATTATATTTATTCATGTTTAATAACTTGTAAGACGCTTTTCAAATGTGCTAGATGGATTCCCCCCCCCCTAACTTCCTTTCTTTTTGCTGTCAAAGGTACTCTATTGTTTCCTTTAATATCTCTGTCTCTGTGTGGGTTTTCACACGTTCAAACAATCTATATCAGTAGTGTAAATTCCTTCACAATCTTTCTGCCGGTTTTGGCTGGGCCTTGCTTTTAACAGCCCATGTCGGTGATGTTAAACAAAACCCGAGTCTATGCTGTAACCTGCCTATGTTTTGCATGCATTTTCTTAGTTTTGTGTACATTATGCTTGTGATCGCCACTGACTTCCTCTATTATATGCAGAGAACATGTACGAGTGCTCACAGTGACCTGTGTGTCTCTCGGTAGCAGGGATTTGAAGACATTGCTTTCTTGTTTAGTTACTGGCCCACAAGTGGATCATTGTCTTGAGTAATGTCTCAGTGAGGCCAAAGGGGAGAGTTTCAAGTTTGAATAGCAGAAAAGTATCTCTGTGTATTATACAATTCCCATTATTGTTATTTTACTAACAATTTGTGTTCCTTTCTGAATCAAATCTTGTCTTGATACAGGTGTAGGGATTAAAATTGTGGGTCAGTCATCGTATGAATTCGATGGTCTTCAATATTCAGTCGGTGGAAGGCACAGCAGTAGGACATTGACCAACAAATAATCCCATTTGACATGTAAGAGACAATTATGGTTATAATTGCTCCCATGAAGAACCTGTTTTAGCGGGAACACCCAGCCACTTAAGCCACACTCACACACACCTCGGATTCCTTCAAACTGACAGTATCTGAGCTCACTAACCTGAGTTTGTTATGAGACTGATGTATCAGATCTTAGTCTAATCATCATCGGGTAGATTAAGGCTGTGCTGAGTACAGAGAGCAGCCACACAGTGGCAGTGGATAAACTTGCCTTGTGGTAATCTGTCTTATTTGTTCTAAGACGCGGGCACATTACATGTGCAGCAGCAGCTAGCAGCAAAATGTCAGGACAACAAAGCTGCAGATGTTTGAAAACCGTACAACCAGTTTTTTTTTTTTACTTTGTTCCTCTCTGCCTGATGTGAAAGTGTCTGTTTCTGCAGCACAGTTACATGGAAGTCATGCAAACTAGTAGCAGACTGGCTTCTTTTTAAAATTCATGGCTGCAAAGGGAAGTGGAACTGAGACAATCAGAGGCTTTGGTTCTCTTTCACAGGTAGTCTCTTTTTCTGTTCTGAAATCAAGCAGCGAAGAGGGCATTTTTCATGTTTTTTGCGAATCACTACACAGTTTTGTGTTAGGAGAATGCTGTGGTTGAGTTAAATTACAAGTTCTGAACAGCTGTCACAGACATTAACGTGAGCATGTGTGTTCCTGATGTTTACTCCTGAAACATTTCAGCCGTCACTTTAAACATTTTTGTTTTTCTCCCCCCTTGTTAGTAAGATAAACAAGAGAAGCTTTCTCAATCTATTTTAATCTCTCTCCAACTAAGTGGAGGTAGATAAGCTTGTCGTAATGAGCCAGGTCAGAGTGGTATGACCTGGTCAAATGGCTGGGCAGTTGTTACGTCTATCCGTTTTTCCCAGAGCAGATCATAGCTTTACTGGAGGGCGAGGAGGGGTGGCGGGCTTCATGTAGCTCACCTGGGCTCCTCAGGACTGTTGAAGCTGGCCCAGGTGTTCTCTGTCTCCTCTCTGTCTCTTCCATCCATGCACCTGTTTTCAACCTTTTGTGCCAGCAGCCTTCAAAACCCCACAACACATGTGATAGGCATCTATTCACCATCCACATTTCCGTGTACAGTTATTGTCCTTATTTACACGACCTGCTGTTCCCTGGTTTGTTTGTTACAATACTGAGGTGAAACTTTAATGATCAAATTTGTTGTCACGGAGGTAAGACTCTAATAGCCACTTTGGAGAAGGGGTTTTAATGTAAGCTTATTACATAGAGACCAAAAACAAAGAGCCTCGGTAGCACTTTCCAGCTAGAAGGGAGCTTCTGCTATAATACAAGGACTACATTATGATTTGGGATTATTTTCAACAGTCAATGAATGTCAGTGAATGCTTCCTCTTACTGTGATTCCAGTAAGGGAACTTTGGCCAGTTTGGAGTACCGGTAACTGTAAAACTTTAACCCTGATTGCAATGTGCTTACAGAGACCTGTGGAGATTACTGTAGCACATGGGAATGAAAATGTAGACTTTTCAACACATATCTCAGAATTGACTCTGTGGTGCATGGCTTTTGAAACTGGTCCTTTTGTAGACAATACAGGATACGTATAAAGGTGTAACAAGGACTATGTCAAATTTTCATGCGGGATCCCCCAATCCTAAAATCCCATTAAATTTTAATACAAACTTTTTGTGAAGATTTGTGCTCCTGTACAGATAATGCTGTTCGACCTGATGAGACACAAGAAACAGCAAGAGGGCTCTTCTGTTGTGCCAGATTATCTTTAATCTCATCATGTGTTTTCCAAACGGACCAACACCCCGTCTAGTCATCTTTAGTATGCTGTGTATTTTCCGAGCGGATGGCCATGTTTCATTCTTTTTTTTTTCTTAGCAGTACTTTTTGAAAGGTCTTCATTGCACAAACTTCACAGAGAGAGCGAGCCTGGCAGCACTATTTGTATGCATTCCCCGTGGTGGGACAGCAAAAATCCATCTTGAAAATTTGACACAACAATTTGCAGCAGAACCCTTTGAAGGGTGAAGATGCAGCAGGGGCTTGGTCAGCTCATTCAGAGTGTCTACCCTTAATTAAAACCCCTCATTTTCTCTACTTAAACACACTGCATTGGAGCTCTTTGCATGAATTTAATCCCAATTATGTAAAACACTGTGTCTTCTCCTGTTTTGTTGTGTCAGTCCAAAATGTGTTGAGGGTGTTCACTGTGGGAACTTTGTCTTGTGAAGTTTCTAGCCAGCTTCATTAGGGACCATATTGTCAGATAAACTCTAGGAAACAAACAGAGTTTCTGCACAGTCTGTTTTTGTTCAGCTCTGTGACTCATTGTGTCGCTGTTTGTTGTTCCCTCAGAGTGCCTGGACGTTTCGGCTTCCAAATGGGTGAATCAGGCTCTCGGCGCTCAACCCTTGTTTCCCGCCTGCCAATCTTTCGCCGCAGCAGCAGCAAGAGGCAGGATTCTCTCCCCTCCTCTCCGTCCTCAGGCGGGGTGGGAAACGGCGTGCACACCTCCTCCCCCTCCAGCACCAACTCCAGCTCTGGCAGCACCGGGAAACGGCGCAGCCTTTTCCGCACGCCGTCGCTCAGCTTCACATCCAAGCGAAACAGTGATCCCCGCGTTCAGCCCGTCAACCTGAACCTCACACCTCCCCTGACGCAGAGCACTGATGCAAACGGAAACAACCAGCCGTCAATAACGGCGTCAGCGTCCACAGGGTTCAGTGAGGGTGGCGGGCGCCCCAAGTCACGCCACTCGTTTGGCTTTGGCAGCCACAAGCAAAAGAAAATCCCTCGCTCTCAAACCGAGGACTTTGACAAGGCCTCGTCATCCTCTTCCACAACCAATCGAAATGTGTTCATCAACTGCATCAGCAGCTCTGGGACAAATGAAGGAGACGACTCCGGGTTCCTGGATGACTGCAGTGGGGGCAGTAACAACAATAAACGGTCATCACGGCAGAAAAAACAATTGCTGCCCAAGTCCTTCTCAGCCCACCACCGTTTCTCCCGCACCTCTGATCATCACAGACCTCCAGAAGTCAATCAGGAGCCTCCAAGCTCTGCCACTGTCACCCCGGGGGCGGGAGGGCTCAGCCCAGGGTCATGGCCCGGTGAACTAGTCGGTGCGGGCGGCGAGAGTTCGCTTCAGTCCCCCATGATATCAGAAGATCGAACCACAGCTGTTACCCCCTCAGAGTTTATTCCAATCACAGAGGATTCCGTGTCTGAAATAGATGCGCTTCCCGCTCCCAGTCCTGGATCTGCTCTAACCCCCGGCTCTGGCTGTGTGCCCGGGCTGGCTTCTGAAGCTGAAGCGCCAGACCTCCCACCTGCTGCTGAGAACTTCAGTGTGGGCGTATCTTCCTCCCAGGTACTGCAAAGTTTTCTCTAACCACCATTAAATAGCACAATCTTAAAAACGTGCACCCTGTATTCTTCATGTTTTTGAAAATGTACTTTACGATAGACTTTCAAGCAGGCAGCTATATGTCTGAAAAATAAGAAAGGTTTTAAGCACAGATGATCCACAGGGTTACCCTGTTGTTCACCCAGCATACCAGTGGATGAGTCCTCTCTGCAGCTTGGCAGAGTTTTACTCTGGTCCATTCATTCATGTTTCTGTTAGCAAAGCTCTCATTCATGTCTAATGTTCTAACTGTTCAATAAGGCCTGGAATCTGAAATATCAGGAGTACTTGTCGACTGAGTACGAGACATCCTTTTAGTTAGAGGAGCTAAGGCTCGAAAAAGAAAATATTCCTGTTTTTCAAACTGGCTGTCAAATATGTCACTTCTGAGCACTCGAATACAAGTAAAACATTTTTGACTCACCAGAACAGTAAACTCAGATAAATAGGACCATTTTTAAAAAGTATTGCTGTGTAACTACTCAGTTATTTACTTTGCGGCCTCTGCAGAGTAAAATGACATGACTTCCTCTTCAGAAATACTAAAACATGCTTTTTTGTTACCTTGTTTGACAGGCAGTGAAATGCATATTGTCCAAGAACTCAACAAATTATCCTTTTTCCAGGTCTTTTTCACTCCAGCCCAATCCAGCACGGAGAAACCCTTACTTCCTGACACCAGCACAGCCAACACGGACTATGAAACGGCTGTTTCCCTCTCCGAGCCAGAGACAGCTGTACTGTGTTTACCTCTGCAGGAACAATCACAGGAGGAAAGAAAAGAGAGGGAGGAGGAAAGAGAGGAGGCAAAGAAAGAGGAATCAGCCGAGGACATTAAAGAGCTGGTGCAGGAGAAAAAGAAAGGCTACCACACTGAGACCACAAGTGAGAGTGAGACGTGTGTGGCACGCAGTGAGGGTTGTCAGTCTAACCCCGAGCAGTCTGAGAGGAGGACCAGAACCACACGCTCCTTTCAAGAAAGAGGAAGTTTCTGCGGCTGCCACGAACCCAGGTCCTCTCACTTGAGGAAACCACACACAGGTACGAAAGCTAAGCAACCGACACCTCATGGAAAGTCAGTCACAGTTATGTTAGAGTCAGACAAACTTTCTGTGACTCAACCAAAGAGCACAGGGATCCGTACTAACTCTCTGTCTTTTTCTTTACTTTCTCCATGATTAAAAGATTTTTCGTTATACATTTAAAGTGGTGTCTAAATTGAAACACTACCATTCATAAACATTTGCTGGAATCTGCCAACATGAGCCTAACTTCAAATTTCCTTCATTGTTACTTTCACTACCTCCAAACCTTATGCATTACTGAACAAGTGTAAAATGGAAGCCAATAAAAATCAATAGTGGTTGATTACAGACCCCAGTGGAGGTGGAGTTGGGGTTTTGAAGTAAGGAGGTTTTACAAATTGAACTAAGCACAGTTCAGGAAACAATTAAGTCTGTGATTACCTTTGACACATTGAGAATAAAGCTGAATTCCCTCATTCAAAATTTTAGAATAAAACTGTAATTTACCGGCAGCAAACCACATTTGAGTCTTTGTTTAGCTGCCAGTCATTGTCTCAATAGTTTGGACTGATAATCTACAAAATGGCTGTCTTCTAATGAATAATTTCCAACTGCTGACAGCAGAATGAAAAATGTTCTCCTCAAATAAAGATATAACGTTTCTCGTGTTTTCACCTCCACTTCAGCTCCTGTGGTTTTGCTTTGTCTTCTCTTGGTGACAAATGAAAGAATCAACAACAGAAAAACCTTCCAGATCAAACATGAGCCCAGTTTTATGATTCTTTGTGAGTGGGGGAGGAGCGAGACACGAGGAGAGAAAAAAAAGAATGGAGCCACCGTGCCTTTATTTCCCAGCCTGTTGCTTTATTAGAGGATGCTTCACTTCTATGTTTCTGTTACTACAAATAGGGCGGTTATGACAATATCCTGCTTTTATTCTTCCTCTAGTTGTGTTTTTTCATAACAGACTCAGGCTAACAGAAAATTATCAGGAAAATCTTTAAATGGTTTATACATTGGAGATGGACAACACTTACAGCATTGTGTGCCACATGTTATTCATCCATTCACACCCACACCGGTGGATACTCCTGTAGGTAACTTATGGTTAATAAGTCTTCGACACATGACCTGGGGGAAGAGTCAAACCTTCAATGAGTAGGAAAATGCTTTTTCTTTCTGAGCCGCAGCTAAAAAATGACCGAAACTCTATTATTACAAAAATAATAAATACAATTTTAACAATAGCAACAGTCTTGTAAGGGAAGAATAAAAATAAATTACAGAGCAGAATGATTGAAAGTGGCATTTTCATTTAGTTTTATTAAATAAACCATATTCCACATGAGAAATAAGTCTGAATGCAATAGAATATAATGAAAAGATGATCATATCTCAGAAGATTAATTTGCATTCAATATATCTTCTTGTGTGTATGACTCTGTGGTTTTCTTTGTTTCTTTCTTTCCTACAGCTTCCCTTTGTAGCAGTGCCAGCCCCTACCATGAGGTGATGCGCCTGGAAAGGCGTCTTCGCTCCTCGTCTGAGGGAGCTGGTGGTCCTCGTATCCATGGTAACCACAGGGATGCCCCAGGCATGGAGGGATGTGGTCTGCTCAAGCACAGAAACAACTCCTCATCATCTAAACTAGGAAGTCTGGTAGGTGTTAATCTGTCTGTGTGTGCATGAAAATAAATGAACTCAAATGTTTAAAAAACACAATCAATTGGAAAATGATTAGTTTATCAATGACGAGTGAAAATGCAGAGGAAGAATTAGAAACTACTCTTTAGATTTGACCATCTACACAGAGGTTATTGTGTCACCTTTGAAATGAAATCTACCCATGAATAAGATAAAAATGTGCTCTGTCCCACATTTAAGCGGTTGTTTTCTGCACTTTACTTCATATTTGTGTAATTCAGTCAGTGTGGGTTCAAGTACATTTTTGTATATGGTGTTCCAGGGGTCTTTTACACGCCTCCGTTTTCCTCTCTGTAGCAATCATTAAGCAGCTTTTTGCATTGGTACCTCTAATACACAAAAATGAAATTACTTGAAATGTCTTTATTGGTGTCTTCACACCATTAAGACCTGTTGTCACTGTTACACCCGTAGCTAATCGGTAAAAGGAGAAGATTTATGTACAACTTACCAGAAAGTATGGTAAGCAAATTAAAAGAGACGCAGGGTTTTTTCAGATTTGGGATTCAGAGAAGGTGCCATCGATATCTAGATCCTGTTTTTATTTTATTTATTTTAATGATTCAAGCTTCAAACTCATGGAGACCAAGGATGAGAGATGATTCATAGTCATTACATCTGCAGGTACACCCCCCTTCTTCAAGAGGAGAGAAATTAAGTGGGTGCTATAATTACTGCCAGCTGCTATCGTTTTCTGATATAATCTACGCTTGATACTCTGATGCATTTAATAGAAGTGTGTAATGGTCTAACAAAAGTCATATTGCCACAAGAAAGAGGTAATCAAGATTTGATTTCTTAAAGTAGCCCACTGGTTGCATTTTGTGCCCAAATCTCAAATCTTTGGTATTTCTGTGGGGTATGCTTCTATGTTTTACGCCCTCTTGGCTGTGCATGTTTTCACCAGCCAACTGAGCAGCCGGTTTGTGTGTCTGTCTGACAGGGCTGACCCCACACACAGCCAGACAGCCAGAGAGACACACAGAGTAGAGAGAGCAGCAGGCGTTTATGCACAATGCACCATTAAGGCACAGTGAGAAGCAGCTATCAAATCATATATAATTTGACCATAAAAGCCCTTAAGTAGGTTAAACTATATGTTGATATAACTTGAAAACATGTGAAAAAACGGAAAAAGTTAGATGTTTGCTCAATTCAAAGGTTTTAACGGAAGACTTCTGAAGTTCTGTATAAGCGTGGATGTGTAAAGTACTTAGAAAAGCTTGCTCACTCATCTGCTGGGTATAAGCCTTATATCCTTTCTGTTTACTTTGTCTAGTAGCGCACATTGCTTAAATCTTTGTTGATGCATGCGTGGCTATATCCACTTTTGTTTCTGGCTGTAGGAAACAGCTACCTCAGAGTATGGCAAGTCTTTCTTTCAAAAAACCCGAAAAAGCTCTGTGGGAGGCAAGTTAATTTAAATCAATTCCATTTTTTCCAGAAGAGACTACTTCTTCCTCTGAGGCCTCCTTTGATAGATTGACCAGGGGAGGCATATAGCCAGTAAACTGCCATGCAAATTGCTGACTGAACATGACACTTTCTCAGTTCCTCTGTGCATAAGAAGGGCTCTTTAAGATCCCGTGTCATTGAAGGAAGGTAAGAGCCTGGGAGCGTATATTAAACCATGTTCCACCACTCATACCTTCGTAACAATTTATTGGTCAGCTCAGTGCACTTGAAGTTAATGAAAAACATTGGGTTGAGACACTTAAGCTTCTGCCCTTGCTTGAGTTCATTTTCAGCATGTTGAATCTAAAAACTATATAAGAAATTAATTATTTAACCACAGCAGGGATGTGAGGAATGGGTTCTAAATGGTCCAACCTTAATTTGTGTATCCATTTTCCATGTCACAAAACATCTACACAGGGCAGAGCAGATGCACTGAAACATTCCACGCTTAACAATCTGTTTAATTGGGGCAGTTTTATTGTTTCTTCGTAATTACAGCAAGCGCAAATAGTTATTATCATGAAGAGTATCAAGATTTGATGTGACTAATTTGCGTAGTAGAATTAAGGTCAGGTACTCCTGTGAACTCCAGTAGTCTGTGTTTGCCTTTTCTGTTCGGCAATCTCATTCAAGTTAGTGATTAAAAAAAAGTCTGCTTGAGAAGCAGGGATATGTTCATTGCTGAATATTCAGTGATGCTTTCTCCTTAGAAACAGCTGTGATGATACTGTGAAAAGTTAACTGTAATTACACTCAAAATCAGCCCTCAAAAAACAAAACATGCATATTTGTTATCAGTTTGAGTGACATACATGTGCTGCAACCCACTTAACCTGAACGTTTTTATCCACGCATTACAGCATTTCCTTAGCAGCATTCTGGCAAGACGGTTGGAATGCAGAGAGCCTCTGGTTAGCACTGCATAATCTGATTTCAGCCTCAGAGATGGCTAATCATGCTGACACTTGTGTTAATCACACAACAGATACGGATGCTCTTCTCCTCTGAGATAGAGCTGTAAAAAGGGGACCTGTTTGCAAATGTTTAATTCTTTAATACTCAGATGACATTAGTAATAAATTACATAAAAGCAGTGCTAGCAGGTTATGTAGTTAACCCAGTTTTAATGTCCTGTTTTTATGTTCAGATTTAGCCTTTAAAACTTTTCTGCATTGTACCCGTAAATTACTCTACTGGTCACATTGCAGGCTCCACTCAAAAGGTGAACAAAGTCAGCAAACAGGAACTCTTTAAATGAATTAATCATTATTTCTTCCATAGACAACACCTGTTTTTTCTTGACATTAGATGGCAAAAATGTATTCAGATACATTCAGATGGAAATTTTATTTGGATTTCAAGATTACTTTGATACATACAATCTATTAAACTGTAATCAAAATTTCTTGAGTGGAAACTTAGTGTCATGGAATCTGGTTGTAGATTATGTAAATATGTATCTGTGAATTGTGACAGTGATTATGGTTTCGTCAGCTTGCCATGCACAAGAAAACCAGTGGAATTATGTACCTTTCAATCCTCATTTGGATTATGAGAAACTTTATTTGTGACTGGTCTATGAGATAATGTTTTCCTTCTGCTTTAACTTGCTGTGGAATGGCTGATGTGTCTGTGTTGACAAGAGAAGTTTGAAAGCCACAAATGTGAGGTGCTAAATTGGAGATCTTGGGGGTCAATTTTTTTTTCATGGAGGTTTTATTCAAAAATGGATTTACAATTTGACTTGGCATTCAATCATCTATTTCCTCAGGCACATTGTAAACACAACTGGCTCTGAAGTGCACCCACTCAGACAGAATGAAAGTCATTTGTTCTTCTGTATATTCTCCTTCGCTGGAGGCTATAATACCTGGCTGCAAAGCCAAATCATTCTACCTTTATCCTAATGCATTTTCCACCCTAAAGCACTGGAAACACGTCATTTTCATTGACTGAAAATGTGATTTAAACAGAGTGTGAATAGATATCAGTGGTTTTTAATGGATAGTGAGAATCTCCCCTCCCCCATCATGTCCGTGCTTATGTAATTTTGTTTGGCATCTAAAAGACGATTTCCTTCTCATTTTAATGAGAACCAAATCTGATATAATCTTGATCAACTGAAGAATTTCCTCAAATCATGTATTCAAGGTAAAAAGATGACATTTTGAGGCTGTGAGATCAACTCATTTCTATGGTTAGAAGCTGTATCTAAATGGGTAATTTAGCCTTAAATGAAGTCTCAACAGTATTGGTCTTTGTTTCTATTCTAGCACTCTTTTAGCTATTTGCTTAAACATCTGTAGTTATGTAAGTGTTTTGTGGTGCAAAAGCCCAAAACGAACAATACTTTACATCTTCATGGGTTTTTTTCTCTAAAAACAGCATTTGCTTTGGTTATATAGCTTGGAATGACACGGTACTTTGAGGATGTTGGTCTCAGATAGGATGAGATCAATACCGAGTATTTCTGGGGGGGATTGTAAATGTCCAAACAACAGTGATGAGAGCTGAACAGAGCTGGTTATTGGATTTTCTTATCCATCTGCAGATAGGCCAGAGTCTTATTTCTGTGGATGACTAATATTCATATAAATTCTCTTAATCTGTGTGAAGTGATCTGAGAAGCCCAAGTGAGCTATTAGTATCTTAGAACATTTTTAAATATTCCGTAAAACTTCATTTGAGTTAACAAACTTAAGAGGTTAATGAGTTCACCATGTCAGGGTTGATAGATAGAAGAGGTAATTAACAGTTTGTCGTAAGTTTTGTTGCCAATTTATCCTAAATAAATAAGTGGCCTTTGATTACGGTCTTCCTTTTCCAATCAGATAAACTTCCTGATGCTAAAATGATGCTTTTGTAAGTTAGCAGTTAACAAAGCTTCACGTAAACTGAATGAATATGTATTAGATATATGAGAACATAAAAACAATTGGCTGATACTGCAATTTCCTGTTTTAGTTAGATTTTAAGTTCCATTATCAGTCATTTAGATATTTAGAACCTTTCTCCTTCTTCCTAACCATGTTTTATGTAAGAAATAATTTTTCTCTTCGAAAGTCTTTTGTGTCTGGCCATTATACAACCATTAGATGGCACTATTAACCTTTGGAATGCATCTAAAGCAAAAAAAGAGCCCATCATCCCCTGCATCATTTTAACCTCGATATAATACCAAGAGCACGAGAGCATTTACAAAGAGGTTGTGAGTGAGTGTAAAGTGTTTGGCTTTAAGTGATGTGGGATGACTCACAACAGACCTGTGGTTATTGTTCTTTTAAAACAAAGGTTTTTAGAAGTTTGAAGCTTCTGTCAACAAGGATCCTTTTTATAAGACAGGACAGGGCTGGTCTGGGAGGAGAAATGTTGATAAAATATTTTTTACCCTAGTTCAGTTTATTTCAGTTGCTATGATTGACTCACCACTGAGTGAGTTATTGGAAGGCACGCCTGTTTGACTTTTGTTTGAGGAAAGTTGTCAGCACTGCCAAATGCATCAACACGGCAAATGATATCCACTTGGAGGTTGATGGACTAAAATGTAAAATTGTTGGTGTTAAAGCTTGCAAAGGTCTAGGGACAAATGTTTGCTCTTGATCATGCTGTTTTGGAAGGTGCATGACTTAATAATGGGCTCCCTCTCTTTTTCATAAAATGCTGCCAAATTGGAAGTGCTATTCCAGTTTTAATCAGTAGCAACTCTTTGCTTGTCAAACATAGGGAGAGTTGACAGATGTAACACAGAAGTACAGCCTCATTTGGCATATTAAAGGCTTTCTCAACCCAAATTGTAGTCATCTGTCAATAGTAAGACGAAACAATAATCCATATCCATAATTTAGATTTTGATGGAAAAAATATCTCATTAATTGCAGGGGATGAAAAATAACAAAACCGCCCCTCCAGATAAATGCCTTTTCTTATTATTATTGCTTATAAATGAAACCCTTCTGCTTTTTTAAAATTAATGTTATGAACCTGAATAAATGGAATGAAAATCACACAAAAACATATATATAATGCTGTTCTATATTTATAATTGATCTCTACTCTTTCTTTTGCACATGTTTGATAAATGAAAGCATTTATTAAAATAACATAACATCGAAACTCTGAACCTCAACATGCGTGGAAGGTAGTGTGGAAGACCTATAGAAAGTAGTTGCCAATCCTATTGCATATCAAAGTTTCAAATGTTTGCCTTTCTTCTTTTTTTCCCCATCAGGATGTACTGAACAACCTTGGTTCCTCAGAACTGGATGAAGATGATCTGATGTTAGACCTGGACCTCTCAGATGATCAGCGACATCGTCATGGTAACTTTTTCTCTGAAGATGTTTCAGCAGTTGAAGCTTGGAAATCATAAGCAGTCTTCTATCAGCTGAATCAAATTTCCTTAAAAGAATGTCTAACCTTATAAAGTTACTTGCTTACTGCTTACAGAAAACTAATCTTTCAATCCAGTATGACACACATAACTCTTGGGTATTTTTCCTTCCACTGACTTCAGTAAACATCTGCTCTTATTGTCTTATATGTGACAGATTTCTTTCCTCCTCCTGTCTTGCTTGGCATCGCTTCCTGGTTTCTTGTTTACTGTCATTCTCTTCACTGTCTCGCTTTGTCTGCTTTACATCACTAAACAAAAAAAAAAACGTGCTGACCCTACTTCTTTCAACATGTGGTGTAGCTTTGATTCAACTGCCTTATTCACAGTGATTTCTCTCCTATATGTTTTTAGCATTTCAGTCGCACCAACATGTCTCATGGTTGAAAAGTGACAGTCCGAGCAGAATTTTTGCTCATGCCCCACCACAGAGACATTTAACCTAGAACAGAAATATTCCATTAGAGTTAACACTCAGATAATTATTTCAGTTAATTTGGTGCACATTCATGTCATTATTTGATGTACATGACATTTTAGCAGAAGTATTAAGTTTTGGTGACTATATATACAGTATATATATATATAGGCTGTCTGCATTAATTATTATGTTTCTAATAATTTAATAAAACTTCATTGTGGTCATATTTAGTCAGCTCATCATATGTGTGTTTCCGTTACTCAGAAACCAGATGATAGATGGTAATTTCAAAAGAGGTGTGCATATCTTATTATGAAGCTGGATTAATCTGTCTCCAAGCTCGCTTTTAAACTGCCAGACGCTGAATAGTTAATCTGCTGACAAATAAAGTGAAATACTCAGTGAAAGTGTAAAGTATAAGACCGCAATAGGTTTTCTGCTCTGATAAGAAATATTTCACAAGCTTACAGGGTTTAAAGAGTTTTACGGGAGAGGTTGGGTTTTAACTGACTTGTCATACACTCACACAAAATAGAACACACACACAAGCAGAGATAGTGTCTCTACAGACACTGGTTGATGCAGAGCTAAAGGAGGCACCATTATTAATACGTACTCGCACACAAGCATAGAAGCTTAGTCATTAGACCTAATGGTTTGCAGACTGTAGCATGAAATTAAAGGGTTGATGAATTGTACTCATAAAGTCAAGGGACTAAGACTGTGCTTGCAATAAAAGAGTAAGATTTTTCAACATAATCGAAGTGAGTCATTTAAAAAAACACATACGCTCACGTACATCCAGCGGTATACATGTTGCAATTTCAGATACATGCACAGGTTCATTTGAACATATATACTCACTCTTAAATATGCATGACTAGAGATACACCTATCCTACATCCACACACACACACAGCCTCTCAGTGGCACATTTCTATCTCTCTCATGTGGCCTGTTAAAACCTTTATTAAAAAGAAAGCTGTTTCACAGCAATTTACAGCCAGCAGTGTTCAACTTCAGGAATGAAACCACACATGGATGGGAGCAAAGACCAATTTTATTTGTGTTGTCACCTTTCTTGCTTCCCATTCCTACAGCCTGACATGTCGCACGTATTCTGACAAACAACCGTACAAATAGATTGAGAGTTGTGAATGTTGTTTTCTAAAATATGTTTAGATCTAGGTTTCCCTTCGGTGTTGCTATACACTTTCGATAATAAGAAACAACTGAATGATGATGGTTATAGGTGTATTTTGGTTTGTCCACAGTATCTAGAGAAGACTCTAGCCAATCCCTGACATCCTGCCTCAACCTGCTCCCCTCGCCCATGGATCCATCTGGAGATCGCACTGTTTGGAAGGAAAACAATCAAAGGTAAATGTGTCTTATTTGATGAAAACACAATGCAAGTTAGTGAATTAAAAACAAAATAAATTAAATGCCACCTCAAACATAGGAAGCGCCAATGCATTTTATCTGCATAGAAAAGCAAATGACATCAAGTAGCTTTGTTCTGTTTCTGAAAGCACTGAAAATGAAGTAAGTCTACGTTTGACAGAGAAAAATAATTTTGCTTTGTATGGCGTTTGTTATTTATTTTTCAGAATTGAGATTGTTCTCAAGTTAAAGGGAAGAGTCTGACATCTTGTAGAAAGCATGTTAAGGGCTTTAGGATCTGTTATTTATATCACTGGACACGGGGCAGTTTCCTCAGTACATTACAGCTGCATCATAACAATTTTTTTGACACCTGAGTGACAAAAAGAGCAAAACTTGGGGGTATTGTCTGTTCCTACTACTGATCTTGAATGTTCTGCATAAATGTAACGTGTTTTATGCCGTTCCCTCCTTTTGAGATGAGACAAAAAGGGAAAAGCTCAATGAATAAATGAAATCTTTTTGAATAAATGCACTAGCAGCCTTTCTGTTCTCCTCTGTGCCCCGGTAGCCAACGGCTGAAGAACACTTACACTTTCTGTTTGTAAATATGAGTGCCTCATCCACAGACTGTTCAATGTGTGATGTGATTTAGCCACTTATTTGTGACTTCTTCCTGGATATGCACACCCACCCACTCACTCACACACTGACAAACACATATACACACATACATAGACGGTGCTGCTATTTGGATAGGGCTTGTTTAGTTTTATGGGGCTAGTGTGTAATAAAGGGATGTATCACCAGCATTGTTGTTTGGTAGTCAGTCTGACAAGCCTGCAGATGATTATTACTTCACCTTTCAGTTTCCCTCCCTCTGCTTTCTAGTTGGATTTATGTTAGTCCTGCTCCTGGCACTCATAGAGGACATGTATCTGTACAAGCATGCTGGCCCCAGAACAAAATGCCTGATCTTTTTTTTGTATGAGGGAACTGTGTCAGCATTTGTGAGTGGTCTTGAAGTAGAGGTTGAAAGATTTATACTTAACACGTAACACGGGGCTGGCCTGGGCATATTTTTTTTTCAGCGAAGCGTCACAGTAGCAGCACTAGCTGTGAATAGAGAGATATTTTCTGCATCTAGACAGAGTCAGTGATTCATGCAACCTTCTCAACCCATCTAAGTTTATTTATTTAGTCGTTTTGTCTGGCACTTCATTGGCTGCTCTATTTATACTGATGTCTCATTCAAAGTATTGTCTTTTAAAGCACAAGCGGAGCAGTTATGCCTTAACATACAAATATTAAAATAATTTCTCCACTCACTGAAGATGGTGTCATTCTGTTGATACTGATTACCCACAGTTTGAGTGGGTTTGTCTTAACCAAAGCACTACAGTAGAGCTTGGAAATGTCAGATTCCTAGAAGTAGTTTCTCTCCAAAAAATCCAATCATAGTGTGATAAGCTGATCTTTTGCAGAGGAAAGAAATATACGAATGAGCTCTGCTTGAAGCTGAACCTTACTCTGTTGACAGACTGGTGTGCAGGACGTGTAACATACATGCTAATTAATGAATTATAAATGAGATATATAATTACTTTCATTAAGTCATTGTCATTTTAGGGTGCATACTTGTGCGGAACCTCTTTCACAAAAAACAAAACAAAACAATAACATCTCACAGGCATGATTACTGCAGTGGCCATGGATATGTATCTGCTCATGCTTGAGGTTGACAGTTATAGCAACGTGAATTGAATCATGTTAATCTTTAGCAAGTGTTATTGCCTTTCGTTTGACTTTTTTGTTTTTTTGGTGCAGCATCAGTTTCCTTGCCCCCGTTGATAATCTCTGTGACTCTCTGTTATCTCTTCCTGAAATTCAATTGGTTTCTGCTCAGATGGTGCTCAAATGTTGTAAAGTCTTGAGCTTTCTATTTATAAAAGCCTAATTACAGCTGAGTATGTTACACCCATTGACAACTAAATTACCTTCTTTGGTCTGTTTTTTTAAACAATTCATCCCTAGAATCATGCAGCTGGCGCCACTTAGAGGCCTCATTAATTTAAAGTGTGGCGTGTCTGATCGATGACTTCTATTCATCCATACAATTTTTATATTCAATCAAATTCAGAGCTTGAGGAGAGCTGGAGTCTATCCCAGCTGTCATTGGGCAGGACGCATGTTGTAAGTCTATCAAATTATCAACACATAGGCAAATGAGGCATGCATGCTCATACATACAACTTGGAATCACCACGCTACTGTGCAGCCTAAAATTATCTTTAGTCCAACCCCAAAGTCTGGGAAATAGAAATTGTGCTCACCAGATTTTAGGCTCAGTCCAGTTTGTAGAATTTAGGGGATGCCTTAAAAGAAATGGAATATAGTATTCATGATTCACGTTATTTTTTCTTTCTTTGGTGATGATTTACAGAATTGGTTACATTATGTAACCACAACTCCAGTTGTCACCCAGGATGATCTGAAAGAAATCACAAAGACATGCACATCACAGATTTTTTTCTTCTCCACAGCAAGTCAGCAGCTTTTGTAAAGGCCCATCCCTGGGGAAGTTTCACCAGACACTAAAAGTCTGGGTTAATCATGCAGCTAAAAATCACACCAGAGAGCAATTGAATGAATTTCAGACTTATCTTTCTTCTCGATTTGAAATCAGTTTGGAAGTTGAGATGAGCGTTGCTAATGTCACCATGCTAACATGCTTATGCCTCAATTCGTTTTGGCTTCGGGAACAGTGGATCAGATTGGACAGTGGAGTCAGGTGCAATGTAACTTTCTTACCTTGACTAAGATGTAGCTGCTGGCAGGTGTTAATTTATTTCCAACGGTTTTAGTTCAGCGTCTTTACTGATTTCCTCTAACAAAACATTTTCACACAGATTGCCCTGGAAAATGTGTAGAGTCTGTGAGTAAAGAACCTGAGATTGGAAGGGGAAAAAGCAAAATGTGTTTGCCCAAGGCTTCCTCTATCTCTCTCACAGTCTTCTTTTCTCTCCAAGTCTCCTTTGCTGTTTGTCTCAGGTCCCACATTCCCTCGAGGGGACAGTGATTTGCTGGAGGCAAAGCAGGCTCCCTTCCTCTGCTCATACACAAAAACACAAACAAACACGTACACGTCATACACGTGTGCAGTGGCGTTTCTAACAGTTTTGGGGACATTACACCAACTTGTTACATTTTCTTTAGACTTAGCAGTGATAGCAGCTATAACTTACCTGGACCACCGTCAAAGGAAGATCTTTTTATTTACGATGAGTGATTTATCCCACGGGACGCGAGGAGGCTTTACGCCTGCAAAATGGAAGCTATTCTCCACATTGTAAACAGAGTAATGTCCCCACAACAGGAGCGATAGTAGTACGTGCACATACACACCTGTCAGTCACACAGTCTGTCCAGAGAGAGTATCAGCTGGTGACGACTACTGAGTGCCTGACAGGTTGCACATAACATCTGCTGTATGCACACAAATGCATGCACACACAGAACCACACACACACACACACACATGTGCTTTCTCTTTAATGTGCGATGGTTGGAGGATTTTGGTGACAATCTTGTATTTTTCTTTCTTTATGACTTATATATAACTTTAACAAAGGCTGTAGCAGTGCACCTCAGAGTGCTGAAGATCCATTTTCAGTCTTTTTTATCTGCATAGATACGCAGAGGGGAAGGCAAAACAACTATTTTTGGAGAGTTGGGTAGAAAAGAGAGACGGACGTGATATAGTGCACTTTATCCTCTTGAATCGAATTAAAAAGATAAATCCATGCAGACCTGTAGGCGCAATGTCCCCCATTATCCAATACATGCTGTACAGCAGCTGAAGAGCTGCAATTATTTGTCATAGATGTAGCATGCTACAATAGTTCATAATCAGAAAATCATTGATGAATGGTTGTTGCAGCTCCATATGCCCCTTCTACTGCACACAGCGTTCACAAAGCAGAATTAGCAGTCGAATAAATCAAGTTTATGCGAGACGATTTTTTGTTTTTTAATCAGCTGTTCCTGTAAGGTGTCTTGGTTTAGTTCTAACACCATCCTTGTATTGTAGTTAAGTACACCTGCATATCAACAGAATATAGATAACATCAGTTACAAGGCTGCTAAATAATGAGTGTTTGGATTTCTGGTGCTTTGTACCTGTAGCTGTTTTCAGTCTGCCGTGCATCTTTGTGTTGTGTATCTTTTGTTCGCCTCATAATGAATGCCTCTGGGTGGCTTGTGCGGGCCACATTAGACGCGCGTCTCTCTGTGTGATGTATCTTTAATGCCTGTGTCGTGTGGCATGTTGTGTTAAGACATTGACTCCTCCCTGGTCTCTCCTATAAAAATGACGCAGAGGAAATTAAATTTTGACAGTCAGGATATGGCTTGCCTGTTGCCAGGGTAACGGCAGCCTGCCTGTTGAGTGCTCCCATGCCATTCTGCTTTCCTTTCCTCCTTTGCTCCTCGTTTTCAGTTGTTACCACTTTGGATTACTATGCAGAAGACAGGTTGCCCAAGCAGAGGACCTGCAAACACTTAGAGGTGTTATTGTCAGCATGCAGTGGGAAACCATGAAGGTCTCTATTCCCATATCTCTGCTTCTTACTTGGGAAATTATGTGCAGCTATGACATACTTAGGCTGATTAGGAACGTGCCAATATTCTTGCGGAGGTTCTTTTCTTTGGATGAGCCTTATGCATTTTTTTCAGCGGATGTGCCTGTTGTATCTTTCAGAATGCCAAAGAACCACTGTTGAGGCATAATGAGTTGGGAGCTTTAAGCGCTGCATCGGGGGCAACAAGAACTGCGAGAAAGGATAGATATCATAGCTTTGATACCACAGTCAACCGGATATGAAGACACCGTGGAGCAGTAAGAGCAAGTGTAGGGAGGCCATTCTCTAATTGAAAAAGACATTCTCATCTCACATTTAGGTTGACACGGTTCATAGAGAGACTCCCAGTTGATGCTG